GAGCAAGTGGACTGACTGACTGACTGACTGGCTGGCTGACTGGCTGGCTGCTGGGTGTTCCTCTGAGGACTGTTTGACTGACAGGAGGAGTGACCAAGACTCTCAGCGTGGCACGATGGCAGGTAGGCGAGACCAGCTCCACCTTCACCATCACTTCCCTGCAGCATGAATATTTCAGCAGCCTTCAGTTTGCTCGTGGCCTCACGCCGACCTCACATTGTCCATTTGAGTCCACACACATCCTCCCGTGCGTTTCATCGTCCATATCTGTCCGTCCATCATCCCTCCATCTCTCTTCCTCCTCCCTCTTCCTTCCAACTCCTCCTTTGTTTCCTCCCTTTTGTCCTCCTTCATATCTGGTCATTATTCTGTTCCCTGGTACCAGTCATGTGTCCGTCTGGGCCTAAGCAGCAGCTTTACTGTAACGTCTGTCTGTGCTGGGATGGAGGTGAAGTTAGCCTGTAATACAAAGTGTGACGCCTGCTGCATATCAAATAGATGTGGCCTCAGGTTTATAAGGAGAGTAATGAAACACCACGGAGGTGTAACCACTGTTATTGTGTGTGTGTGTGTGTGTGTGTATGATAATTCAAGGGCAAATTGAAAAGTAGCCGGCGCTGCAGCGCTTTAAACAGGTGTCCTGACAGCAGAGGAGATGAAGGTGAACCCTGCTGATCTCTCCATCTTTGTTTGCTCTCTCTTCCCTCTCACCATGTGTTCTGTGTAACACTTAACCTTAATGCTAAGAAGGAAGGCAAGTCAAACAGAATAAATGTTAAAGATCCACGTTTAAACTTGTGTGAATCATGTGACAGTGTTTGAGTCGTGAACGCTACACGCAGAATTCATGACCTTAATGTTGCTTAACTTGATTTTAAAGACCACATGACCAGAATCAGTGGGTTTTGTTTTCAGTAGCTCGGCTCAGTTTGGTGTCAGCAGCATTACTCACACGGCAGCTGTTTAATCTATTGAATGGGACCCAAACATATCAACAGGATGTGTGTTGAACAATTGTAGAAAAATGCGTTTCCGTGCTAACATGTTAGGATTCAGCAAAATGAGTCAGCGTTTTAGTGGGAATGTGTGTTATTTTTGTACTTCTTACCACATTGCAAATACAAAAATGATGACTTTTGCTGCAGCCTGCACCAAGCTAACATGTTTTCTTACAGCAGAAGAATATCATTTGTAGGTTCTCAGTAGCTTCACGGTGCTTCGTTTATAATAGCACGTTGGGACATATTTGATCTTATTGCAGCTTGGATGCTGCACTCGTCCATATTGCGATTTGCTCAGTCCTGCTTCCAGTCGTCATGTATGATAAACCTGCTGACTGTGGCGTGTTCGCAGCACAACATTAGCACATTAGCATACAATCTGAGCTTTAAGCTGAGCCCAGATTGATCCGGCTCTGACAAGTTGAACCTCTGAGCTGTAGATAAAACCCTCTGATGGAGGCGACAGCGTTTTTTTGGTGCTACTCTCAGAACAAATTAGACTTTTTTGCACACGTCAGATGGTAAACGTGTGTTTTGTTTGTCATGTTACTGATCATCTGTCTGAATAGTGACAATTAGTCCACATGCACTCAAATGATCCTCAAAAAGTATTTTACAATCAAAGTGCAAAGCTTTATGATACCTGATTTGCTTCCTCAACTCATCTGTGCTTCCTCATTCGTTTTCTCTGTTTGCCCGCTCAGTCGTGTGTATTTAATGGTCGCAGCAGTTTAGATAAACAGTTAAAAATTAATCATTCTTCTCCGTCTACTCCCACCTCTTCATCCTTCCACTCATGATCTCCTCCCACCTACATGCTGTCCTCTCTTGTTTCGGTTCTGTTTCTGATGTTGGTTTCGCTCTTGCTCGCTCGTTCACTTTGCGTTTCGATCATCTCTCACGGTTCTCTCACAGATGAACAGAAAATATTTTTAAGCGGCGCACTGATTCTGAATCAGCATTTAGGCCACGATGGATGAAACAGGAGACCACCTTTTTATTTAATAAGACAAACGGAGACGATCTGACATTAAGCTGCAGGTTCACAGATCAGTTCTTTCATGCAAATCTCCTCTAAGTTGGATGTTTGTATGTAAATCTGCAGCTTGATTTCCGCGTGGTGGCTTCCTCTCTCATTTGACTGTGAGATGCGATACAGTAACAGTCCCGCCTGTGTCGCCCGGCTCGGCTTACACTGCTGATCCGATGCATGCCGGGAGCGTCGTGTCGCTTTGTGCTGCAGCAGTTTAGCTCCATTTTAGCGTGTGGCGCATTTTTACTGCAAGTTAACACCGAATAACCAAAAACGGCATCCACGTGATGAGCGTAGTGTCTGATTAAATAACAGGGACAGAGATGGACGCTGGTGGTGGAGCTTTAAAAGTCTGCCATGTTTATTATCTGATTTATTGTGATTCTATTCTGGTTTGTTCTATGAAGTGCATTACACTGTAAAAAGTGTGTTTAAGCTGAAGTACTGCTTCGAATGAATCTCATTTATCTTTCTGCTTGGGTAATGATCAACTTCTAATCACACTTCTTTAAATTAGTATTACAATTTTGGCAGAAGTGCAGAAATTAGGGTTAAAGCTCCTTCAAACGATTCTTCACATTTTTCTGCTGCAACTCAACCACCAGGTTCTTTAAGGAAGATTACTGACTAAAGCAGGGGTGTCCAATCCTGGTCCTGGAGGGCCACAGTCCTGCATGGTTTAGATGTGTCCCTTCTTCCAACACACCTGATTCAAATGATCAGGATGGTTATCAGGCTTCTGCAGAGCTTGATGATGAGCTGATCATTTGAATCAAGTGTGTTGGAAGAAGGGAAACATCTAAAACATGCAGGACTGTGGCCCTCGAGGACCAGGATTGGACACCCCTGGACTAAAGGAAAGGAAAGAACGGCAAACCTGATGACAAAATCACGTTTTACAGTCTGTTTATTGGGTAAAACAAACACTTCAGTTGGAAAACTTTGAACATCCAAGTGAACTTTCCTTTAAAATTAAATTCTAACAACACAAACTGTTCATCTAAGAGGAACAACATTATTAGTCTTACTTCGGTTGGATAAACCTAATTCAACGACTTGTTGTGTAGGTAGCTTTTTTTTTTTAGGTTATTATCTCTTTCAGTGATAGAACCTTAATAAACAATATGTTCTTTCTTTCATTTAGCCTCAGGCTTGTTTATATGTCATTTGATTTTGTAATATTTAAATCACGTATAGCAAGTTTAGCTTCATATGAATGTATGCAGCTGTTTATGGATGATTGGTTTTTAGGTGTTTTTAAGGCTGATAATGATGTGTTAAGTTACTGATGTAAGTTTTTGTGACAAGACTCTGGGTTTTGGGAGCGAGAACACAGCCAATAATCGCCTTTCAAACAAGGGATCTGCTGCTAAATGCACATGTGCACAAGTTTTAAATGTAGTTTCAAATTAGTTTTTCATAAATTCGTGCTTCTTCTCTGGATAGCAAAACCATTTCCCCCTCAAATTTGGATGCTTTTGAGATAACAGCAGGCTTTCGAATAAACAAACTCACAAAATAACGTTTAAAAAAATATACAGAAAGTAGTATTTAACTGTTTTGTTTGTGGCTTTGATTGAGGAATCTCCATCTGAACATATAAGTGATTGATTCTTGGTGTTTATCTGATTTGTGCTGCCAGCTCAGGCTGGAGGAAGAACAGACATTTACAAACTTGTATCTCACTCCCGAATGGAAAAATCCATATTTATGATCCTGAGGATGTGAATGCAGGTGTCAGAGCAGAGAATGGAGGATGCGTGAGGAGTCGAGATGTTCTGCTAAACTTGTTTTTGACTTTATCAAGCTGTAATCTGTTAATGTGGGCCACCGGTGAATAATCTGCACTTGGCGGTTTGCCGTTTGATAATCTGGTGATGTAACGGCGGTTGGGTGGGAGGACGGTGGACGATTAGGCTGGAAGGAGTTCAAGATCAGAGGAGGAGAGGCGGCGGGCCGAGTGGATGAGAGGAGGCAGCGGCTCATCTACAGCATCACGAGTCAGCGGAAAAACAGCGTCATGAAAATGTGCCGGATTTAACAAACCATACAGAATCCAGGAAACATGTCTTTTACTTTGAGTTTGTCTGCCTGCTGAGCTGCACCAGTTTAACTTTATTATATTGTATATTGTGTGTTTTCCTCTTCATGAAACAACTTCAGTGAGTTCAGACTCGTATCATGTTTACTTGCAGTCGCCTCCTTTGGTTGCCGTTACTGCCCTCTACAGTTGACACAAACAAAAAGGCACAAACAACGTGTGGAGCTGAACTACCAGTGATTTAGAAACGTTTCTCCAACTGATGTTTGAAACCTCCTCAGAAAACAAGAAGAAAACCAAAAGCTTTGTTTCTCTATTTGAACCTCTGTCTCTCTCTCTTCCTTCTTTCTGTCTGTTCTGTGGTTCGTCTGGTTTTCCTTCCTTCCTTCCTTCCTTCGTTCTTCTTCTTTCCGTCTTTCTCTCTGACTCACGCTCATACACCGTTTCTGAATTATTAAAACCAGTCCTTTATGCGCTTATCCCCTCCGAGAAACTCAAAACCACTGAATCACAAAGCAGCAGCAGCAGCAGCAGCAGATATCAGTAGCAGCTGTTTGTGACACACCCACACAAATGAGACGAAAAAATGACGTTCAAACATCCAATCAGCAGTTATTTGTGGTTGTTGTGCTTTGATTCATGCTTTTTTTTTTGCATTTTTTTCTTACACTCTGATTTCTTCTCTCTCACATTTACAGTCAAGCTGTTAATCTGCATTTTGTCGCCATTATTGTTGATAAAATGCTCATAAAACCACCTTAACTTCAATATTTTGATGGATGTTTTTTTTCTGTTGATATTTAAGGCTCTGTGTGATACTCTTGACACTTTACCTTCCCACTGCGACCATCATAATCTGCACTATGAGCTTTAAGATTCAGTAAAACAAAGCTCCAATCTAATGCTCTCCCTCCTCCACGTCCAGATGACACGGTGTCGGCCAGCAGTAACATGGACATGGAGGACCGGGTGTCCCACCTGGAGCAGAGGCTGCAGCTGCAGGAGGACGAGATCCAGCTGCTGAAGGCGGCTCTGGCCGACGCTCTGCGCCGGCTGGGCTACTGCGAGGAGCAGAACCAGGGGATGCAACAGGGAGGCACCCATGCAGGGAGGAGACCTCTGGCCACTACAGGCTCAGCAGCACCCACCAAAGGTACGGAAAGCAGCTTCAGTGGATTTTTTTTAACCATTATCACCGCATATCATATCGTTTCTGTGTTTCTATTCCAAGATTAGTGCAGATCCACCAACCATTCAGTCCATCAGCGTTCGACAGCAGCTTTCTGTCAGAATATCGTCCATGCTGCAGTTCTTGGAGGCAAACAAACTGTTAAAAACTGATCCTACAAGTTGCTGCTGTTTTATTTTGTTGCACTAATTCATTTTACAAGTTTATGTCGTCTTAATGTTTGCGCATATTTTTTGCACTTTGGTCAACTCATGTTGCTTCTAAACCTCCTATATCAAAAAAAATTATGTTGTTTTCTTTTCAAAATGATGGAATAATCACTTTCATGCTGATAGTGCTGAACAGTTGACACAAAAGCTCATTTGTTGGTTTGGAAAGAGATTATTCTGCAACTTTATTCCACATTTTCAACAGTCAAAATGGCCCACTACTAAAAAAAACAAACAAAAAAAATCAATTAAAGGAGTAAAATTTGTTGGGAAATTTAATAAAAAATAGATATGAATAACAGAATCACATGCTCCTCTAATGTCAGATATGAAAGTCTTCCATTTCCCTCGATGACAAAGATCTAGAAACAACAAATTAAAGTTTCCCTGCAGCCCTCCAACGCTGACACCACGCTATGCACACGTTGTCGTCCACATCGATGGCTGATGGCAGTTTGTTATCTTTCAGTGCGTCAGCTCCTGCAGGCTCTTCCCTCCAGACCTCTGAGTAACGGCTACGTCCAACAGAAACGCCTCCTTTCCTCCCCGTCATCTCCAAAGAAAGAGGTGCTGCAGTCCATCAAGAGGTATGATTAGGATGCAACAGATCTGGTGTGTGTTTTAGTGAAGCTAAAGCTAAAAGGAGCAATCTAGTAATGGTTGTGGTAAAAAAAAATTAGCATCTTTAGAGAATGACGAGGTTTTGTAACACAGATCTCTAAAAGGCAACTCAACAAAATGAGATATTTATTTGCTTATTTTTTGAAATATTGTGTCTCTTTTTGTTTGCCTGTTTATTGCATCTTCTTCACATTTCCCCAAACTGAGCTGTTTGGTTTACGTGACTGTAATTTTACACAACTGGCAGCAGATGCACTGACCTGTGAGACCTTCAGTAGCAGCGAAACAACCAGGGACGTAACCCTGCTTGTAATTCTTGGCATGAGGGCAAGCTTTAACTACCACAATGTCCAAAGCTCTCTCTCCTCCTCTCCCCTCCTTCAGAAAGAGTATGTCCACAGAGCGGCTCACCCTGGTGAGGAGAGAGATGGCGGCGGAGAGTCGGAGTCGAACCACCTCCTCCAGCAGCTCCTCCGGCGGCAAAAGGTATCGTCCTCCTCCTGATGGGTGCATTTATAAATCATTCCTTACTACTCTGTGACACTAAAATAAAACCATCGGCAGTCGTCTTTACAAAAAAAATAAGTGGAAGGAAAATGAGAGCAACACCATTAAAAAAAGAAAAGAAGGAAGCTCCTCATTTTGCTTAACAAGCTGTTTGTGGGTCAGCAGGGTTGTTCAGGAGTTCAGTGGGTCAGTCAGACTGCAGTAATGAGCCGTCGTACCCTCTGATCCATCCGTCTGTCTGTCTGACTGTGAACCGACGTGACTGTTAGGCAGTTCAGCCGCTGCCGGTCAGTTTGAACGCATTGTGTGCCGGTCAGAAGCAGAAAAAATCAGCAGAGAGTGAGTGTTTTGATAGCGGACGACTGATTTAAGTTTAATTTTACTAAACAGTTTAAACAGTGGCAACCTGTATGAAGTGTGCATGCCGGGATCCATCCCTCATGACCCTGATAAGAAGGTACAGAAAAATGTTGAGAGAAGGTTTTTAAATGAACCCTTACAGACTGTTTAAGGGTCAAATTTGACCTGTTTTGACATTTAACAGCCGTAGAAACACCTTAAACGTCATTATTGTCGCCTGAAGTTTGATGACTTTTCCTAACGTGACCCAAAATACACAAAAATAACAAATCTTTATGTACACGTCCTGCAAATGTTTGTCCACAATTTGACCTGTAAATCCATTGAGATGGATTTTAGATCTACCAATCGAGGAAAATGTTGGTTTTAGATAATCTTGAAACTGTGAACCTGTACAGGCCATGTTTTATGTTTTATTTACATTTATTACTGTGACATAGACTATGTAGACATTCTAATCAGATCTGTGGTTTAAAATCTGATATAGACACTGAGTATGAGGGAATTCTTGGCAGGAATTCTTCACAGTGAAGGCATAAAATATGAATGAAATGAAATGAAATGAAATGAAATGAAAAATACTTTATTTATCCCAGAAGGGAAATTTAATCTTGCAAAAGCTCACTTTTTTTTTTTTTTTTGTTTGTTTGTTTGTGTTTTTTTTAAATTTAAAAATATGGCCCGTGTGTAATGAACAATTATTTATGGTGGAAAATTGGAAGATTATTTGACATGATAAATTAATCGCAGCACGAGGATTAAAACGATTGGGTCTGTGGATCATAGAACACTTGTTGTCCTCAAAGCATTCTGGGTAACTGGACTTAAATAAGGGCACAATATTTAGAAAAGATTGTGCTGTCTTCAGCTGTCATGGCGGATTCTGCGTCTTAAACCTTTCGTGGAGAAAATACATTTACAGTGATACTTATACATTTTTAAATGGGTTTCTTCAGTTATTCAGACTGTCTCATGCGTCTCATCATGTGAAGCCGTTGAACGTCCACAGTCCTGCCAGTTCCAGACGTCACCATGAATTATGTTTCACACTTATCAAGCTGCTGTGCGTCACAGTCAAGTGAACACAACACGTGGATCCTTTGTCATCAGCAAACAAACACAGAGCAAGTTTATTATTAATGGTTTTCTCGTCTTCAGTTTGTTTTTATTGCACCATGATCTTTCCTTGAAGTCCATCCTTCATCCACTCATCTAAAAGCCACACAGCTGCACCTCCTTCCTCTTTTTTTTTTCTTACTTTTCTCATCTAAACTTTGCCTGCTTCTCATTTCTTTACCTTCCTTCCCTCCCCTCGCTCCCTCTCCTCCTATCCTCTCTGCTGATGGATCAAATTTCCAACTTTGGAGGTGTGGTCACGGTGCCGAGGGGGGAGTGTCTGCTCGCTTAGGAAGTGAGCTCTGGTTGGGCGACGGGGGCTCTCGGGCCGAGCTAAAAGTTTGCTGAGTGAAGGAGGAAGTCGGTGTGTTGCTGTGGTTGTTGCACGGGAGAGGAACCGCTCTGACCGCTCTCACTGTTGACTCTTATTCTAACGGAAACCTTGCAGACATGAAGAGATCTTCCAGGTAAAAACGTTTGTTTTACAGCGGATAGTTAATGATCTACAGAGGAGCTGCAGAGAGGATTGTTTTATTAACTGAGGCTTAATGATTCATAGCACAAAAATGCAATGTCTGTATTTAATGAAGGAAGGTGTGTAGCTTTAGTTTATGAATGACCAAATGGAAAGTACAGCTCACAAAATGCACATGTAGCTTTTAAAATCAATGAGGAGCGTGTGAGCGTCACACCCAGGTAGCTGCTTGATTAATATTTGAATAGATTCTTGAGATAAAGTTTGGTTTGTTGCGTAAAACGCCTCCTGGCTTCACCATCTCCAGTCCAAACAGAGTCAATAATCAGTTGTGTGGTTCTGGATTCAGCCTGAGGAAGTTGAGTTTGTTTTTTTTTCTCTCTCTCATGAAACTGTTGTCACGCAAACCCGTTTGATGCAGTGGGTTTCTCCGTCCGCAGGGCCGTGGGGAGGGGCAGTAACATGAATAAAGCAGAAACAAGAGGCAGCTGTGTCGGTGGATCCAATGAAGTGTGATGACGAAACAGAAAATACTATATTATGTAATTTACAGACGACAGTTTAATAGTTTTATTGTTTTACTGTCTAATTCAATTAAGTCAGACAAAGAGGGAGTCCGAGTGTGTTATGTAAAACTTGCTTTTAACTCGGCACACATGGGATGATTTACTCCGCATACAACAGCGATTATACCTAAACGTGGCATCTTTTCATCATAAGTCTGTATTGTGCACATGTTGAATGCACCTTTTTAGGCCAGTGTTGCTTTTCTCATCGGGCGTCTGATGATGGAGAAAACAAACAGACATGTCGCATTACTGTTTGGTTATGAAACACACACACATGGGTGGGATGAGTTAACGTGATCAGACAGAGGACCGGTCACACTGAGCTCAGCAGACCTGTCAGTGATGTTCTCTTAAAGCAGACTGATGCTGACAGCGGACGATGCCGAGCTGCTGCTTTACCGGAAGATGATGAGAATATTACACACGTCCAGGTTTTTAAAACTACTTCACACCAGCCGCTGTAGGTTTGTTGGCACGAGCCACCTCGGGCGGTGCACTTTTGCACCTCGACTAATGTTAATTTTTGAGATATTTTAAAGGATTACTTGTTAATTCTTTAACTTCTTGTGCAGATTAAGAGCAGCTTATTAAGAGTTCATGCAAAATGCTGTAAAGACAAGGATGTTGAGGTGGCCGGTGCTGTTGGAACTTGCTCGGCTTGCAAAAAGACTGATAACATTGATTGGATCTCCTGCTTAACATGCAACAAACACACCAACCACGTATCTGATCGCACACAGGCGTCACCAAAAAGCAGCTCAACATCACGATGACGGCTTTTCCTTTAAGTTTACGTCCATCTAAGAGCGTTGTATAAAAAAGTAACACAAGATGTTTACTATATTCGTCACTTTCCTTTTGTCTTCAGTGTTCTTTCTGAAATTGTGGCCTCAACATTACCGTCATCAAGAAAACAAGTTTAAACAACAGTTAACAACTTTCTCTCAGTCGGGGTGACACCATGCAAATCCCAATGATTTAAAAAAGATCTGCATCATGTTGAAAAGACTTTTATCAGTCAAATCTTTCTCCACCTCCTTCACCATCCGTCTTTATTTAAGTTTCTGCAGTGCCACAGCAAATTCAGATGCAATCGTCGCAGTTCGGCCTTTTTGCATGAACCGAGAGGAGGAAGACAATCAGATGCGTTGCTGTCCGTCAACTTTGCTAATGCAGTGCTTCAGTCTTAATGCATCTGGAAATGGATGCGCACTCGACCGCGCCCACGGTTTTAGGGGCTCCGACCCATTAGTCAGAACTCAGCATCCATTTGCTCTCCGACTGTAACGCTGTCGTCTCTCCCCTCGTATAGCTGCAGCGACAAGAAGTGTTCTGCTGTTCTCTAATCTTGTAATCAATCAAATACGCTCTATAAGTTTGGAGAAAAAAATGTCAGGAGGGGTTAAATATTACATTTTTACTAGTTAATATTGGTTTAAAATGTGCTTTCATTTGCTGCATGCAAAAACAAGAGTTTAGGTCTTTTGCAGCCACTCTGACAGTTAAGAAGGCGTCACTTTAGGAGATAGCTTTGGATTAAACCTTGCAGTATCTCAAAATAAGTTGTCCAGTGGTTGGAAAAAAGGAGGAGGACAGCGAGAAGTTCTAGATTATGAGTTTGAACTGAACCCCGATGCTTAGGAACATTAACGCTGCTGCTCTGGTTTTTCCTCTTACAGAGACTTGAAGCTCAGGTGCAGGAAGGGCTTATGTTGACGTCTCTGGAGATGTGGAGCACAGTTAGTTACTGTACCTGTCTGCAGTCTGTTGAGGAGCTGCAGCTCAGAAACTCCTGCAGAAGCTTGACATTCAAGGACATTTTGAGCGAGCTCTCTACAAAGAGTTGATGGTTTTTCTACAAAATTCTGACATGGTGCCGGATTCCTCGGAGGGAACGTTGATGCTCATTAGTTCCCTGTGATTGTTACAAGAACCCATTGTGTTGAATAGTGTTCAGAGTGCAGGCAGGCAGAAAATGCCAACAAAACACTCAGTGCTGCATGTTAATGAGTGCTCTGTTTGTGCGTTCCTTCTCCCTGGAAACCCGGTGACTCGGACAGCCGCCACATGGGCTTTAGATGCGGAGCTATTCGCCCTGTCCGGCTGCCAGCTACCCAGCATGCTCCGCACTAATTACTGGGTTTGGATCAATCCTCTTCTGTCATTGGCCAGAACCGGGCCACGCCTCATCTTGCTGGCAGGCTGCGCATACACAAACTCACACAGTTGAAGAAACAAGTGGGCCTTTATGTGGTTATTTTAGAGCCGACACCCTGCCTGGTGGCCTCCAGCTGCCCAGAGACAACAGCAGTCAGGTCCTCGGATCACTCGTCTGTTTAAGCTTTTAATCTTCTTCGGATGCTTCCCGCTTTCTTCAAACACACACACGCAAGGCTCTGATCTCGATTGTTCTCTTGTCCCTTGTTGATCTCTAGAACACACTGTGACAAACCTGTCTTACGTTTCACTCGACGTGACCTCACTCGCTCAGAGAGACNTTCAGTGAACTCCTCGTTAAGCAAATGTCAGGACAAGTAGATACACATCATCCATCCTGCTGCTTAAAGGTGCCCGTGGAGTTCTCAAACACAAGTTATATTTACATTCAGCGCGTTGGTCTGTAATCTGGGGTTTAACCAGCATTTCATCTCCACATAAAACAAGCTGATTTATTTGTTTGGTTGCAGCATTCTTCTTTCTTTTTTTGTTCCCTTTGTTTCAAACCTCCTCAGTCACTGCAGTTTTCATCCCAGCAAACATCCGTGTTTTGCTCTGGCTTTAATTTTTTTGATATAAATCTACAAACAGAGGAGACGTGAGTCCTCTGCTGCTGTTGTTTTCTCCACGGAAACACTCTAGAAAATCAAACACATTGTTCTCCTGTTGCTGAGCAAAGCGTAACCAAACCCTCGGCTTTTGTTTTTGTCTTATCAAGCCTTACTTTTAACTGCTGTTGCCACGGCGATGTCCACCTGTCAGCTGAGGCAGCGGTTCAACATCCTGACGATCTGATTGGCTGACAGGTTGAGGTTCAGTGGTCAGCACGAAGCGAAATGCTCGACATGCAGACTCAGGAAGAGCAGCGGTTTAAACTCGGCGAAGTGATGAGGCAGCTACAGGTTTTGATTGACGGGTCTAATTATAGATTTTGGCACAGTGGCTGACTCACCAGATGTCATTTTAGTTGTCCGTCTTTTTTTTTGCTTTTCTGCATGACACGTGTAATTCTGCATCACACTTGATCACTGTGACACTCTGCTGCTGTTTTACTGTTTTGCTGTTTTACCTTTACTGTTTAACTGACGGTGTCGCCACTTCTGTGCAGACACAAAAGGACGTCTCTGTTTGCTTTCTGTCTGCTGACTCAATCAAAGGCGTCCGTTCTTTTTAAATATCTGTCCACACAGCCGCACTAAAGAGCTGGAACTTTCATTCATCGTCTTTGTTAATCAGAGAAAATCGGAACATTGTGTTCAGTTGTGCGTATCGTCCAATAACAAGGAACGACAGTCAGGGCTGCAGGGCCAAAATAAGCTCCTGGTGGCGCCTTTCTGTTGTGTTTATGCACCATGCAAAAATGAAATCAACGAAAACAATAAAGACTGTGCAGAAGAAAGGGCCTCAAAAGGCTGGAAACTTTGCACTTTTTTTGTCCTACGATGGATAAATCAAGTTCAGCAAAACAACTGGTTTGAAATTATTAGAATTAGAACAAACCAGGTTGTCGATCTTTTCGGTGTCCCGGGAAGTCACCCTCTTTACCCAGTTGGTTGTCTAGACGTTTATATACCATCTACAGCATAACAAAATGACACCACACAGACCTTTTGGAAAAATGTAATAAGGTTATAGTGTGAATTTTGTAGTGCAGCCCAAGCAAATGAACTCCAGTAATTGTATTATGTACAGTAAATGCAAACCATTACCCAGAGAAGCTGCTGGAGCTGTAACACGCATGGATTAAATTAGGAAACAAATTTGTGGAGCAAAGCAGAGCCCAGAGCAGATCCATCCTGCTAGCAGGGTGCAGGCGCTCTGAATGCCGACAGCTTTTTCTTACTCTGACGAAGAAAAGCTTCGTGTCAGAATCTGAGTTGTTGGACCTCATTAAAAGCTCCTATTGTTACTGTGAGTTGTCCTGCCTGTTGAGATGTGGGTTGGAGCTGTAGCTGGCTGATGCCCAGAGACTCCTTCACCCAACCGCTAAGACTTTCTGTTGCCATCATAGAAATCAAGTGATTGAAAAACATAATCTGACATTTCACGAGTTCGCTCAGCACTTCACGTGAAATGCCAACGGTCTCTCCGAACACCGGGGATCCCTCCTCCAGAGCGCATCGTCTCATCACCAGGAGGATGAAAGCTGTCCTCCAGTCTCTGATTATATGATGCACAGGATGAGTTTCTGCTTACTGCTTCCATAGACATCCCTGTTGTCCAGTTAAGCTGCGTGGTGAAGGTTGCAGCCTGCAGAGCGAAGAATAAATAATTTAGACTGGAACAATGTAGTGGAACAACATCTCAGGAGCTTTGAAAAATACTCATATGTATGTATACTATACTGTGTATAGTGTTTGATGCACTTCTTTCATTATTTTTTTTTCCATTGTGGATGGAAACCACACCCTGACACACCGCATGCTGCAGAAAAATCACCACACGAGACATTTCATCACACTTTTTTTTCCCTCTTTTTCAGCAAATCCAAAGAATGCACCCTCAATGCAGGTAAGAACGGTGCTACTTCACCATTTCTCTGTATTTGTTGTGTGTCTAATGGCTGCACAGACTTGTGATGTCTTACCCTCCAATTACTGTCACACTTTAATTTGTTGTAAAGACGATGAGCAGCCTCTGATGTGTGAAACTCAATTAGCCTTCAGGAGTCCTTGAAGTCCTCTTCGGGGATTTTATTACTGTCATTTCGAACCAATAATATTTCTCATTAAACATGCTGAACCTCCATTTGAATGCGCAAAGAAGCCGTTAGAAATACTGAAGATCTCTCATTAAAGCAGGCACCAGCTCCTGAGGATGACAAATTTGCTGTAAAAATGAGAGATGGAAATGTTGTCGCTGGAAAATATTCAGAAGGAAGAATTGAAGGAAACTGTGCTGGATTTACTGCAACAAAGACCAAAGATGCATCCTCTATCCTCTGCTGGATTTTTCTGGGGAGAAAGCAGAAGGAAACATACGCGCTAATGAAGCTCACAGTGACACAGAATCCCTTTGACTGTGGTCAGCAGAGTCAGTTTGCACAACTGGCAGGATTTGATTAAAATTCAGTGAAAATCCAGTCAAGGAGGAACACATTTCGTTGTTGTTTGATCAGAAAAATGTGCTTCTTGTCTCAGAACTTAAGCTGCAGGATTAGATAAGAGACGACTGAAGTCAGGTTTTTACAGTTTGTATGCAGACTAATGGATGCTCTCTCTCTCTCTCCATTCAACCATCGATCACACTGTTCCTTCCCTCCTCCTCCTCCAGAGGACGGCTACGTGAGGATGTTCCTCCGAGGCCGTCCCGTCACCATGCACATCCCCGACCAGCAGAGGGAGAGCTACGGCCTCGACCAGAAGGCGGCTCTGCCGGACCGCAAGCTCAAGCTGCAGTGGGTGTATCCTTCAAACTGAGAGAAGGCATATGGACCAACTGTGTCTTTGATAAACCAGGAAGTGGATGAATTATTGTTGGAGTTGTTTTAGAAAACCCAACTGATCGATTGACAGATGGACACAATGATAAGATAAGATAAGATATGCCTTTATTTATCTCACAGTGGAGAAATTCACGTTGTTGTTAGCAGCATTAAACACAGAGATGCACACATACGAGACAGAAAAAATGTACATATAAATATAAGAAATAGTGCAAACAGAATATGAAAATGGGCTTCTGAATGGGGGGTACATAGAAAAGATTTATGTATATATATACATATTTATATATAAAAGATAGGGAATAAATGTATAATAATAGTAATAATAACAGCCAACCTATTTGACGATATAAACAATAACTTAAAACTTTATTTTCTCCATCATGCATACGAAATGTGCAAATATGAAATATAACATCACGTAGGGAAAAAAATGTGGAAGTGTATTTATGAAAACTGGGGTAGCTTGTTCTTTTAGGAACAGTAGTCTAACTGATGTTGCACTTCTGGTTGCTGAACATGCACAAAAATGTAGAGCAAAATATTACAAACAAGTTCCAGTTGTATGTAAACGTGTAGTTTTAGTAAAAAAATATGTCCATGAATATGTATTACTGCCTGAATTGTGTTGTTTTATAGTCTTTGGATGCAGCTCTAACCCTAAAATAGCGCTTTTGGTTTATTGTTGATTGATAATCTAGAAGCTTCAGCGCTTCTGAGTCACTTTGGTAAAAAGCATCAACTAAACAACATTAAACTTGCTGTCTTACTCCAGCTGCAGCCACCTTCCCTAACTTAAACACGACCCAGGTACGGCTACCGCGGCCGTGACTGCCGCTCCAACCTTTACCTGCTGCCCACAGGTGAGATCGTCTACTTCAACGCCTCGGTGGTGGTGCTGTACAACACGGAGGAGCAGCAGCAGAGACACTACCTGGGCCACAACGACGACGTCAAATGGTGAGAAAACAGCGGACCGATAAGAGCTGCTGTCGTCTGTGCAATTTCCTCCACAGCCGGACTGTTTCCATTTACTCTGGTTCTCGTAAACACGTCCCCTCTGGTCTGAGGCTGTTGCTGGAAGACTAACATAGTGTATGAGTCGTACACATGTAGAAGGGATATAGAGAGAGATTAGTTTAAGCTTGACTGACTTCTGATTTCTGGTGATCTGGCTTTTCAGAGACTGTTTTTATTGCTCTGTTTTATTATTTTCCTATTTATTAAACACGTCCTCAACAACTTCTGTGTTTATCGTTAATGAAATTTGTGGCTTTTTTTAATGAGCACCAGTTGACATGCCGAACGAGCTCTGAGCCCGGAGCCGCTGGGATGTAAACACTAAACCCCCCAGGGGCATGCTGGGAAAGCTACTCGTCTCTGCAGGGAAACAGTCCAGCTCTGCTCTCCCACGCCGTCACTGAGTCTTCCTCCTCTGCTGCCTATGAAAGGGATCCTGTGTTAACTACAGTAGATTCTGTAATTTTAGAAGCACAGAGTTCTTTCAGTGAAATACGCAGCGTGTTTGTTTAGTTCTTCAAGTGAATGATGACAAAATATATTAATTTATGTTTTAGACTGGTCCAGATTAGGATTTAATTTCAGTCAGTGCATTTATACAATCAGACAACTTTTTAGAATTGTAGCGAAAATGTGGAAATGCAAAATATAGAAATATAGAAGAAAAATATGTACAAATGTAATCTATTAAAAAAAAAAACTACAATGCACCTGCTCATACTAGCTCATTTGGTAGCTGATGTTTTACATCATACGGTACAAAGTACCAGTAATATGTTGTTTTTTTAAAAACATAAATACCTCAAATTTAATTGATTTTGAAAGCAGGTGTTTTACACGGCAGCAGCACCAACACTGAATGTTATAATTTTTTTCATTTAAAATTTGCTTTCATTCTACTTGAACCTGAATCAGCTGTTTGAATCCACAGTGGACCAGTCCTCTGTGATTCTGAGCCAGAAGCAATAGGGAATGTAAAATGACATAATAAATGACAGTACATTTTTATCTTCTCAGCCTGAGTGTGCATCCCGATATGGTTACCATAGCAACTGGGCAAGTGGCTGGAAACTCTAAAGATGGAAAGGTACAGTGAAAATCACACTCACATCCTCCTACAGTGTGTTTTCCTCGTTGCTCAATATTGACACAGTTAAAAGTGCGTTTTCATTTAATAGCACTTGTTTCATTCAGTGTAAAAACATAGCGCATGGTGTGTTTGATAATCATGAATGAAACAACAATTAAAACAAAAATATTAAAGTGAAAAAACATATTTTTGTTTCATCGTAGTCCCATATTTTTTGCTTCTACGTGTTGTATTAGATTGTGTAACGCCTGATCTCATCCCTGTCACTTGTCCGTTCAGCTGCTGGCTCCTCATGTTCGTGTCTGGGACTCCGTGAGCCTCAACACGCTTCATGTGCTCGGGATGGGAGTGTTTGACAGAGCGGTCACCTGTGTGGCTTTCTCCAAGTCGGTAAGCAAACTGTAGAGCTTGCCGAGCATTCGACACTGTGCTCCGATTTATAAAAGACTTCTCGTCAAAGTAAATACGTACAATAATAACCCCGTGTTTGTTTTATTTTCGTCAGAACGGTGGCACCTTCCTCTGCGCCGTGGACGATGCCAACGATCACATCTTGTCGGTCTGGAACTGGCAGAAGGAGAAGCAACTGGCTGATGTCAAGGTAATCTGACGCTGCTGCACTTCTTGCTGTTAGGAATGATTCCCAACTTACAATAGCTTCATGCCTCCTGTTTCTGCAGTGCTCCAATGACTCTGTGCTGGCCGCCGTGTTTCATCCCATGGACACCAACCTGATTGTCACCTGTGGAAAATCTCACATCAACTTCTGGACCATGGAGGGCAACACTCTCACCAAGAGACAAGGCCTGTTTGAGGTACGACCGTGCAGACGCTCCACCTCCCAGACTCTGTTGTTTCACATGTGTGAAGGCAATGCAGATGCAAATCCTACATGCTTTGTCTGTTTCTCTGTAGAAACATGAGAAACCCAAGTATGTGCTGTGCGTGGCGTTCGCTGAGAATGGAGATGCCATCACCGGAGACTCCAGCGGAAACATCTACATCTGGGCCAAAGGTAGCGTCTAAATGGAGCATTTTGATCTCAACTTTTTGCAAAGATTAAGTCTCCAAACACTGAAAGACTGGCTGGAAAATGTAAAAGTAAAGCCTAAGAATACAGGAATATGAGTAAATAAAACCAATGAAACATTTCTATTCAAGATGTTGACGGCTAAACACGACCACAAGCAGTTTTATTTTGAAAGGAGGTCATTCGTTTAAACTTTGATGTGTGGATAAAAAAAAAAAATGTTCCTGATAACCTTTCAAAGCCAGCGTGTCGTCTGCTCATGTTCTGAGTTCTTGTGCGCTCTGACAGGTGGTAACCGCATCAGCCAGGTGGTGTCGGGGGCCCACGAGGGCGGCATCTTCTCTGTTTGTGTCCTGAAGGACGGCACCATGGTGTCTGGAGGAGGGAAAGACCGCAAGGTGGTGCTGTGGGACCACGATTACAGGAAACAGTCCGAGATGGAGGTAAGAGCGCTGAAGTTACTGCACAATGACGGGATAATACTGAGGAGGAAATCCATCAAGGATCATTAGATTTGCAGAAAGACTCACATACATGTGTGCTAAAGTCTATCATCACTGGTTTTTGGTTTTATTTCTTTAAGACGATGCAAAATAAAAACGAAAAGCTGCACTTCCTTCTGTGATTGTTTCACAGTTGCACTGAGTGTATGCTTGAGCTGAGGGACAAAAAACCACCGTAAACTACATCTAACAGCAGCAAAAAGAACAAAAATTGTGACTTATTAGGAAAGCATTAATACACAGCAGTAATCATTTGCAGCTATTTTAGAATACAGTGATGCCTACAGGTCTGCAGGTTTTTTTTTAATCATGAATCTGACCAAAAAATAAAATTTTGAATTCTAAATTGATGCATTGATGCATTCTTCTGCTTTGTTCTGTTTTTGTTTAGGTCTATATTGTTCTGTAAATGTGTGAAGCTTTTTAATGGGAAAATGGAAAATATGAGCTTTGTTTTTTTAACCCTGTTCTGTGTGTCCAGGTGGGCGACTCGTTCGGTCCAGTCCGGGCTCTGGCTGAAGGTAAACCAGGAGAACTCTTCATTGGAACCACTAAGAACGCCATCATCAGAGCTGCCTTCCCCGATACTTTAACTCCTATTGTACAGGTATATATGCTCTAGATCCTATTACCTTCCACACAGCCTGCTGTCGGCACCATCGCCCCATCACACTTGAACAAATCCAGATTGTTTCCTCCTGACTAGATCCTTGCTTGTGTTGTATCTGCTCTCAGATGTACATCGCTTTGGATAAAAGTGTAGATTCACTCTCCTGAGCAGGAAACGCACTCAGAGATCTCTGGTGTTTTAAATAAGACGTGTAACGTGTCACAGGGCCACACCGACGAGCTGTGGGGTCTGGACATCCATCCCTCCATGGAGCAGTTCGTCACCTGCTCACAGGACAAGCAGGTTCACCTCTGGGACACCAACTCCCATCAGCCCCTCTGGAGCAAGACCATCGAGGTGAGGACAAGGAAAACATTGAGTGCTCACCTGACAGCAATAGAGTGTCACGAAAACTTAAATACATCTGTTCTCTTTGATGCTGTGCTTCAGGATCCAGGGAGGTCTGCAGGGTTCCATCCCAGTGGGGCTGTTCTGGCTGTGGGGACCATGACTGGAAGGTTGGCCTGAACACGGACAGTAAAACATTCACAACATGGGAAAAAACTATTATACAAGATGAAGCTTTAAAACATCTTTACAGCGTTTGGCTTGGTCGTGTCTTCATATTTGTCCAAAAAATAGAAAACAGAGAGAGATATCTTTGGAGTTTGGACTGTTGTTTGAACAAAATAAGCCACTTAAAGTCTTCATCTTAGGTTTTTTAAATCGTGATGAGCCTTTTCCCAAAATCTCTGACCCAGGTGGTTGGTGCTGGACACCGACACTCGAGATCTTGTTTCTATGCACACAGACGGCAATGAGATCATTTCCAACGTCAAGTACTCTCCAGGTAAAAACCTCACCTGTTTATTTTAAAACACAAAACTCCAGACAAACATGTTTCAGTTCCGTGTTAACTAGTTTGAGCTCGTTTGTTCCCGTAGATGGTAACTTCCTGGCTGTTGCCTCTCATGACAACTTTGTTTACATCTATGCTGTGACGGAGAACGGCCGAAAGTACAGCCGAGTGGGGAAATGCACCGTGAGTATGACTTGATGCACAAGGTGTACTGGAGGAGCCCATTCTTAAAATATTCACCCCGTTTTATTAGTATAATCTGACAGCGTTAAAAATTAAAAACCTTAAAGGAGCAGTACTCTGAGTTTGCACTTTCACTTGTATTCTGAAATTCCAGAGAGTCACAGTTTCTCCAGATTTCCAACTTTAAACTCAATTCCTCATATTTCTTGTGGTCCTTCTCTTCCCCAGGGCCACTCCAGCTTCGTCACCCATCTGGACTGGTCCAAAGACAGCCAGTATCTGGTCACCAACTCAGGAGACTACGAGATCCTCTTCTGTAAGTCGTCCCTCCTGTACTTACTCTTAGCTTTATGGAAACTCATGTCTCTGATTATTCAAAGACAAACAAGACATTAAAGCGACATCACACTCAGAGCAGGACAAAAAGTGTTTGTTTGTTTGTTTTCAGGGGAGGCATCCAACGGTAAACATGTGACCAACATGGACACGGTGCGCAACCTGGAGTGGGCCACTTCCACCTGCACTCTGGCCTTCACCACCTTCGGTAGGTCCTTAAAACTCACTCGATGTTTATTCCATCTTTGACCCAATCTGACCCACAGTGGCAACAGGTCAATTATTAAAATGAATACAGATTTCTAGCATTTGTAGGTCATTTGCAGGCAAGTGAAAAAGCTGCCCCTGGTATTTTGTGAGATGTATACCAACCTGAAACAAGTCTAACTTTCTCTCCGGGTGGATCGTCCACCCAGAACCGTTCCAGTAGACAGTTTTGTCTTTTCTTTTATATTTTGTGGAGAGGCGCCCAGACCGAGCGACCTCTGCTCAAACCGCCGCACAGCGCTCCGTGTTTCTCTGCAGCCTGGAACAGAACACGAAGCGAATATCAATATTTGACTGCCTCCTGCTCTACTCTCTCTCTCTCTCCCGCTGTCTTTCTCGCTCGCTTTTTGTTTCTCAGGAATCTGGCCAGACGGAGCAGACGGCACAGACATCAACGCTGTGTGCAGGTCACATGATGGATCCCTGCTGGCCTCTGCTGATGACTTTGGCAAAGTGCACTTGTTCTCCTTCCCCTGCTCTCAACCAAGGGTCAGTCATGTTCGTGCACAGTTGCACACAACTCACACGGTGCTTCTTAGTGACATATTTAAGACTTGAAATTTTAATACAAATTCTTAAGACAAACTTTCCATATGGTGCCTTTAAACGTAGCAGCTCTACAAAAGCCTTTACGGTGGTGGTCGTCTGCTATCAGGAGCAACTCAGGGTTCACTGTCTTGCCCGACGTTTGCATTTAGAGGCACTTGGGGATGTAACCCTACAATTAGTGGACAACCCGCCCCACCAGCTGAGCCACAGCCGCCCCCCTTTTAACACCTCCGGAGCCGAGCAGCCGCCAACGGTGTGATTAAGTGTTAATGAACGCTGTGAAACCCAATGAAAGCTCAGCAGAAACGTCTAAACACTTGGCCACACAACCTTCGGCGCTGGATCACCACCAGCCCCATAACGCGTACAATTTCTACCAGGTGTTTATTTCGCGCTCGCAGACTAGTTTGGGCCGTTGGACGTCTTTGTTGTTTTACAAGTTTTCGAGCCAAAAGCCATTTAAACTTAATTGTCCGTTCAGACAAACTGCCTTCCATTCGCACAGAAACTGAGAGACTGCAAATAGTTACAGCATGTTTTAAGGAGTCTGGGAGTTAAACTGAGTTATAGCTGTATGTGCATTTGGTTGCTCAGTCCAAAGCGGTCGTACTTCATGGAAAAACTGTACATAAAATGTAGATTGTGCTATGGTTTTTCTCAAAACTGTGTCGCTGTCAGTGAAGAGAAGATTAATAATACAGTAGTACTGGGTGTTGTTCAGAAGAAATACAATCAGAATCAGAATCAGCTTTAATGGCCAAGTACGTACACAACATACAAGGAATTTGGTTACAGCTGTTGGTGTCGCCCAGGAATTTAAACAAATAATAGAAATAGGAAAATTTAAAAAATAAAGTAAAATAACTACAGAAGAAAAGAATAAAATACAATAAATGTTAATAAAAAAATAAACAAGATAATAAGACAAATATATACAAGAATTTACACATCCAGTAGAAAAGGTATATGTACATTAGTGCAAAATGAAAGTGACGTAACGTAAGAAACGCAGTGCCTTAAAGTAAAAAGCAATAAGATACAAGTACAATTCATTACTGTAATGAAATAAGGCTGGAATAGAAGAGTGAAAACTAAAGCTGGCAGTTACACGGGTAATAAGTAAAATTCTACATGATAATGAAAAAATTAAATACTACATTGCACCTGAAAAATTAAATCAAATTGAAATATTGGACAAGTTTCTCCTAAAAATAATCTGAAGGTTTGTGAGAACATTAGTGCCTTACACGGGAAGGGAAGGACATTAATAGTCAACTCAAATTCCCAAACATACACAACCTGATGTTAGAAGCATCCAGATAAAGTCGGGTTTTTAGAGGACGTGAGGTGTGGTTACATATTCCGACCAGCTGATTCTTAACTAAGTCATAATCCGTTTCGTATTTCCAGGCTCCGAGTCAAGAGTACGGTGGCCACAGCAGCCACGTGACCAACGTTGCCTTCCTGCACGACAACAGTCACCTGATCTCCACCGGCGGGAAAGACACCAGCATCCTGCAGTGGGTGGTTGCCTAGACGACGCCATCCATCCCCCACCTCTGATCCCAACAGGCAGGGACCACATCATTACCCCCCCACCTCTCCTCGTCTCGTCCTCGCTGTTTTATCCTCCTGCCACCAGGGGGCATCACCTCCTCTGTGCCTACTGGAAATTAAAAACAACAACAACAACCGCATAACTTGACCAACCCACAGATGTCACACGGGATGAGATGAGTCTCACTGTAATAAATGAAAGATGTACCGCTGTGTGTAACAGAATGTCTGCAACTCTTCTCCCAGCCGGATGCTGCTGGTGCTGGTGGTGGTGGTGGTGCTGGTGGTGGTGGCCGCACAGTAAACCTGTGATTTTAGCGTTAGTACTAACTGTGCCTAAACCGTATTTATTTTTAACCCCCTTTAATGGGAATTCCATCTATTTGAAGAGACAAGTTTGTGACAAGTTTTAATCCCAAAGCATGCACGCTAAAGTTTCGTCGACTATATTGCATGCAACACATTTATGGTGAGAGTTATATTTGGTTTAATATGGTGTTTGGTTTCCATTTTTTTTCCCTTGAAGTATAAAAATCAGTGAGCAGACTCTTGAGGTAGCTGCAAACTGAAAGCATGGAAACCAATTAATTCTTGAAAAATTAAGAAAAATACTCCTAAATGTCCATGTAGCTGTGATTTGGTAAAACAGGGAGAATTAATTTTTCAACCCCAGCAGAGTTTAATAGATTCTTGCTGGTCTTTCCTAAAGCCAGGAGTCCCAGAAACAAGCCTTCAAACTTGTGACAAACTTGTGCAGAGATGTGAGAATAAAAACAGAACGTACACATGTTGAGATGAGATCTTAAATTGAGAAGGAGTGACGCATGTTTGGAGCAAAGTTTGTTGTAGGAATTCCCAAAATAGGTGGTGTTCCCCTCTTCAGATACTTACTATAACCCCCATTGCCTTGTTCTATTCCACTTCTCCATCCCTCAGCCTGATTTCCAAACTCTTAAGGTGCACATTTGTGAGTATTGCAGATTGCTGTAGGAGACTGTGATCGGTACAAAGTGGCTGTTTTTGTCCCAGGCCTTTTTTATTTCACCTCCTCCCTCCCAGGCTGCTGTGTTTCTGATTGTACTACTACTACTACTACTGTAACTGTGCTGAGAAGGCACCAGGTGGCGCTACAGTGCAAGAGAATGAGCATGACTGAGGCCGCCCTCCTTCTGTAGATGCTGTTAATGTCGCAAAAAAAAAGGTCTCTAGAGTAAATATATATATTATGCAGTATATCCGAGTGGCTGTGTTATTTTAATATTTAACTGTAACAACGATGGATGTGATTATAATTATTATTGTGGCACTTTTAGCGATCGACAGAGGGATAATGTAGGCTGTTGTGCTTTGGAAGTGAGCTTGAGCTGTGCTTTGCCTTCTTCTGTTTTGTTAATAAAGTTTTTACCCAAGTACTATGGAGGCTCCTTTTCTCTCTGCATTGGACAGAAAAATGAAGCTATTTTATTTTATTTTATTTTTTAGAGCTTATACTCTGTTGTGCCTAATTCTTAAAACAGTTTAAAAGATGTTTTAATGACAGCCATGATGGTTTGAGGTGAGTTGCTGCTTCAAGACTGATGTTCTGTGAAGAACCTTGTCTCTTGTTCCATAAATAAGCAGCTCACTGGGTCAGTGTCATCAGTTTTGAAAGGGTTAAAGTGGAAAAATGATTTTCTATGTATGGTAAAAATAAAAAATTACCTCTGTGTTTATTGCCAAACAGGAAAAAACTTTGGCACCAGAGAGAGAATATGGCCACAAATGTCAGTAAAGGACACCTGGATCTCTTTATCTTTGGTCCAGCTGCCTTTTAACTAAACCGGATTAACATGAGCTGCACACAGATGTTATGGAGAAATGGTGAAATCATGAGTGCATTGATCTCGTCCAGATGACTAACTCCAGGTTCAGCAGCACCAGAATCCCCCCCTAAACCTCCCTGGGAAATCTGTGGTCCCCAGAGGTAGAAGGAACTTCCATGATCTTTGGTGAAAATCACACAACTCGGCATCAAACATTCTGGAGACCTCCCAGCATGCACTGCTTTAGACTTTTCTCCAAAGAGCGAATTCTCCAGAGACCCGCGTTTTTTTTTTTTTTTGTCGTCTGAAGCGAACATGCATGATGGAGACATGCTGTTTGTTTTTAATTTATATTAAATTAGGTTGCTCCTGATGTTTCTCATGATAAGAGGAGCAACATGATGAAGGTCAGTGGGAGGAGCCTGCACTTGTCTTTTAGTTGATTCACTTTGTGTTAAATCTTAATTATTCTATTCACTTTATTTGCCTTTTTTATATATATTTTTGTTGCTAATTCTGTTTTTTTGTATTTGTATGCACACATCTTCTGTTTACTTGTTCCTGTACTCAGCTAATACAAATGAGGCCTCTACCTCAATGTAGCACTGATTTTAAATAAAGGTTGACCAATTAAGTAATTAGATCAGTTCTTCTGCAAAGCACCGGAAACGGTTTCACATATGTAGTTAGTAGTGCTGCAGATAACAGCATCAACTATTGTCTTTTTAAAATCTAATAATTGCCAAATCATATTATCCTCTAATAAATACGTACAGGTGCTTCTTACTTTGAGAATTTTCAAGCAGGATTTGTGAACTGATCAGGATCAAGACGTTTGACTTGAATTTAACAAAGCTGGCAAAAGTTTAAAAGAAAATAAAATAAAAAAATCCCTTCAACTTCGACACACATGTTTGTACAAAATATAAGCTACAGTCTGAATCACCATAATACTGTAGAGCAGGGGTCTCCAATCCTGGTCCTGGAGGGCCACAGTCCTGCATGTTTTAGATGTTTCCCTTCTTCCAACACACCTGATTCAAATGATCAGGATCGTTATCAGGCTTCTGCAGAGCTTGATGATGAGCTGATCATTTGAATCAGGTGTGTTGGAAGAGGGAAAACATCTAAAACATGCAGGACTGTGGCCCTCCAGGACCAGGATTGGACACCCCTGCTGTAGAGACTAATAATCTTAGTTCTGTCTTCTACAAATAATACAAATAGTCCACTATTAACAACCTTTTAACAACGCTTTGTGTATGTATATGCCTCAATGCACACATCAGAACATGCATATGCACAACCAATGACTGAATATTAAACACAGACTGCATATCAAGTTGTCCAGTTATTTGGTCTGCATACATGTTCTTAAGTTGAAAAATACATGTGAGAAAAATACAAACAGGTGGTGGTTGAAAGGAGTTCTGAAATATTTAGGTGATCGCTGACTCACGTAGTTGAGGTGATGGAAGGAGTAGAAAGGTCACTGCTGAATCATAACCAGTGAATGTGGAGAGTGATGTAATGCAGTCTAAAGGTTTATTTTGTCTTTAGACGCAGGAGGAGGCGGAGAATCCACGGAGACCTGCGAGAGTGATTCCAGTGTTTAACCAGCGGACAGCAGACAGCGAGCAGAGTCGGGTCACCGGTGTCACACAACACCTGACAGGTCTGGAGGAGGAGCTGCAGGAGAACGAAGCAGCAAAACCTCCTAAAAGGTTGGTTTGTAGAAGGAGCCTGTAAAGCCTGAGTCTATTTACAATCCCACAATGCATCCATAAGTGGTTGGTGCTTCACATGAGTTTGTAGTTTTGCACAGAGAAAAATAAGTAAACACTTTGCAGCAAACTAAACTATCAAAACAAATGTAAAAAGGATGTAACACAAAGGTTTAAGTCTGCTGAATGTTACAGAGCAGCCTCGTCTCTTCAGTAACTGCTGACCGAAGAGTTTTTCCATCTGACTTCCAGATTACAACACATGTGGGCGCCCTGCACCAACAATGTGCTAAAACACCACCACTGGACTTGATCTATAGCAGCAGTTTAATCCACACTAGAGATTTATCATTTCAAATATTCAGAGCAAACATTATCCACTATTACTCCGCAGTTCCTTACACAGAATTTATTCATTTACAGTAGATGGACGTTGTATTTTAATAGCATTTTACCTTAAATGCTCAGTTTCTGACACTTCTTTGTTATTGACAAAGCTTCAAGAGTTAAATTGCAAACTGTTCTAGTGGAAAACATTGCAGCCTAACAATGCTGAGTGTGTTTTAGCAGCTGCTCACAAAGTCAATGGAAAGATGGGAGTAGAAGCGAGCAGATGATGGAGTTAAAGAGAAAAAAAAAACTGAAAAAAATTGAAAAAAAAACAAAGTGGGGGGAAAGAAGTGCAGAAGCATTGCTGTTTAAGTCAGAACGTAAAATAAATGTGTCACTGGGAAGAGAAGACAAATAAAATGACAACAGAAGAAAACAGGCCTTCTGGAATAAAATAAACTTAAATCAAACCTTCAATTTGATTTGATTTTGGCAAATGATTGTGTTCCATAGTGATCAGCTGTTTTTTTATAGATACTTTTTTTTTATTTTTTTGTTTTGTTTTTTTTCTTTTGCCTTAAAAATATTTATTTTTGTCATTCATTGTCTGATTTAGTTAATATTCTCCATGACAGACTCCTATAAAGAAAACTTTCCCACTTCCTTTGGTAAACTGAGTAATGAACAACCCTCTCTCTCTATAAGCCTCTATACAGTAAGACATAAATACTGATTAGTCTCAGTGGCTCTTCCACAGGATGTTCTGACAGCACCAGCATCTCAAGGACAAAGGACTTCCCATACAGTGAAAGGAAGAGACATGCAATACCCTAAAATTTAACATAATAAACATCGACCTTTAGGACGAAGGTGACACAGAGGACACGGCGGAGGAAGCTTCCCAGAAGGACGCTTCTCAAAGACGGAAAATAACTATACTACTGGTGTTTTGGCATTTAGAAGGTAATTGCAGTTTGTCTTGAATCTCTCCTGAAGGGCACGGTCATGCACAATGCAGGCAGGAACTTTAAATTATGGGGCCAGGAGCTGACTCTGGATACTCCTCCACTTTAAACTCCTCTGCACACAGCAATTATCCCGGTCGTGTGTTGAGCAGTCAGGCCAACACGATACCTCACATCTTCAAGTCCGTCCGTCAAGAGAGAAATGTTGACTTTTTAAAAAAATTTACACAAGTTACTCTGATTTGAAAAAGCCATCTTTTGCTTTTGATGCACTTTGACATGGTCGCTGTAAATAAGCAGATCCGGCTCGTGCAACACACTCAGCTGTTGAGTCAAACTCGTGGCTTCATCATGAGATCATTCGTATCTGCAGCAAAAATGCAGCTGATATTTCTTCAGCATCTTTAGTGATTCTTTTTTTTTGAACATTTGTTTTTAGTGATTTCATCAGCTATCTGTCACATCACGTTGTACTTTTTCTGCGTCACTGCAACTACAGATTTCTTCCAGCGTTGGAGAAAGTGAGGAGAAACTGAGCCAGATGCAAATGTGCTAAAAAGAAAGGCTGGAAGAAGGACGATCATCAGTTTTTGAGATGAGGTGGGTTGAATCCACTCTGTGACAGTCAGGTACTCTGGCGGGAAACACAAATAAAGCTCAGCAATGGTAAGAGGAACCAAGTGAGCAGATAATCACACAAGGTGCCTAAACAGAATCCTCGAGGTACGCTAGTGTGAAGGTGCTTCAACATTTCTTCTTGCTCTGCCACTTTGCACACCTGTGCGGTAGGAGTCAAAGCAAAGCAGTCCAGTGGCAGACATGTCTATTTCAGATCGGATGGACAGAATAACGAGTGTCCAGCAAACTCTACTTCATGTCAGATATTCAGAGAAAGAGCAGCAACAGAAGCAGGAGTTTCTGAACATGTAAGTCTAGAATGTAAAGCCACGTCAGTTTCCTTGTTTGGGTCTTTTTAAGAAACAAGGTTTCAACTTTGGCAGAGCTGTAATATCAGTATTGATCATTGTTTAGGTGCCAGAACACACAGATGCTGCTTTTCCACCAGAAATGAATGGATGTATACGGGTTACTTCTGCAAACAGATAGCTGAACTCACCATAGCTTTTAGCTTCTTTTTACAGCTTTAGCATCTTATTGCAAGTTTTTCCCTCCAGTTGATTATAGTTTCATGACAGTTGGGGATATTGTACAGACAGAGACATCAAAAGCGTTTTCATACCTTTTCTGTGGTTTATCCCTTTTTAAACAAGATACACCCACTCATGATATCACGATTAATCCTTGAGGTCCTGATTCCTGTTTGTCTGATGTGAAACAGTTCAGATTTAGGTTCGCCAACCGGTACAGAATCAGGTTCTTTGTCGGTGTAAACGCCTCTACAGTGGCATCACATACAAATCAATTAACGTGCTTGAATGGAACAGAAGTAAGTTCTGTTAGAATCTACTTTTAGCTTACGACTGTGGTTTGGTTTGTTAGGTTTTCACCATTTCTACCCGTCTCATCCACTCAAATCAGGAATATTTAATTTTGTACAAAGCAAACAGTTCCCTCACCAGCAGCCATACATT